AGTTCCTAATGTTTGCTTCCATATATTGTTCTGATCTCACTCCATGTAATTCTTTTCTCGACTTACCATCTACTCACCATACAAAAGCACACACGTATATTACATATTTAAAGAGGATAAATGAAATTCCAGACAAAAATGAAGGAAGGTTATAGACAAGGATGGCCTGCTTTCTCCATCTTTGCCTCCTTTCCTTCCTTTGTTGACAACTGGCCCTGTAGGTCCTGTCACAATGGAAACTTGTAGTAGGTTGGTAAGGCATGGATCAAACCTTGGAATATGATAAGGGTAAATCTGAAAAGTCAGGTGGTAGTGAGCAAATGCTTTATTCAAAATCCACTAACCCTCACCCCAAGATGGTAAAGAACACTCTTACAGCTCAGAGATGGGAGAAAGCCAGCAAAGATTTGGAATGTGTTGGTGAAGGGTGGCCCTGGAGGGTGAATGTAGTCATTTAGTTGCCTGTTCCCCAGAAGGAGGATGGCCAAATGTGGGTCTTCTTTTGCCAGGACAGTGCTAAATGTGTACCCAAGGACAGTAAGTGGGGTGTGTGTGTGTGTGTGTGTGTGTGCGCGCGCGTGCATGTGTTTGCATAAACCTTCAACAGTCTTTCCTCTGTCATATGAAAGCTATTTCTCTGAAAGTACTAGAACATGGTGGTCCCTTCCAGGAACAAGTGACTTTTGATTCTTTTGTCACCTCCAGTGAGAATTGTAGTTGATGACCTTACAGTTCCTTTTGGATCCCAACAGAATTCAAAATAATTTGAAATTAATCGCTTCTTTGAAATTTGTACATAAGACTATAAAGTGGGGGCATAAGCCTTCTATGTAGATCTCATTTGCATATAATGGAAATGTGTATAATTTAAATATTAGAAGTATGTTATTATTATGAAGAATACCTTAGAAATTATTGTCACAACCTAAATGTGCCAATTCATTTCAAAAATCAAAGGTGTTCATATTTTGGGGTAGTAAATTTTAACAAATTTTCAGCCTGAGATACCCCAATTTTTCTTAGAATGCCAAGTATTTGCTATAATTCAGCCAGCCAGCACAGCTTTAAAATGTTGAAACCATCTTTATTTCTTTTCTATGATTTCAGAAAATGGGAAATAAAAGTTTTATGGAAGTCATTGTCAGATCATAGCTATTCAAATTATGTTCTAAATTTTAAGAATTATCAATGTCCTATTCATTGTCTTTTCTCTCATTTTTTCTTACTTTCTTATTCATTCCACAGTTTTTATGATTCTAATGATTATTTCATAAAATAGAAGTCAACCTTTGTAAACAGATTTTTAGAAATGTTAATAAATTACATCTATCTGAACTTTTAGCAATTGTTTGATTTTGAAAACAGTTTGAATTCTTGTTGTTCTATATCATATCCATTTATACATTTTCTAGGTAAGAAATTATTATGGTTCTGTGTTCCTTTTAGAATTAGGAAATTAATAGAACTAAAGAAGATAATTATACCCACTAACAAATAACCTTTTTAATGGCAGGCTTATTTTTTTATGTCATAAGTCTTATGATATAATGAAGAAAATTTAAGTTTTTTTTTTTAATCTAAACATAGTCTACCTTTTATAAAATGTCTCCAAAATACAATAGTGGATACTATATAAGGTAATATAAAAGTAATGGAGTATTAGTATTACTATTCTATTATACATTCATGTAGTAGATTGCAGATTGATATTATAAAGGCACAGACATAATTCAAACTTTTCCTTTCTTTCCCTTTCATATACATATGCATATCATAGTTCCTTAAACAAAATACCTCTCACTTCACTTAAGAAATTTGAGAGATTTGAAAGCAGTGATAACGTAATTTGATTATACTTGAGAGCTCAGAACAACAGTTGCAGCTCTTTAAGCAGCTGCCACAGTATAACCATACCCTTGGCTTTTGACCTGAGCCAAAGACTTCTTTCTAATTCCAATTAGTAATAGTCTTGATAGTCTATTAGAGTCAAACAACAACAACAACAACAAAGAGGGAGAAAAGCATATTTAAATTCAAACATGTTGGTGGTCTAACATAAAGGAAGAACACCTGGATCATAAAATTGTGGATAGGTGGGGCGAGTCTCAGTAACTTAAAGAAAGGTTAAATTATATAGAATCCAGTGGAAAACAATTTTTAATGTATATGTAGAGACTATCATTATTTGAAAAATACAGAATCATGGAAAGCATTCCTGTAATCCCAGTGGCTTGGGAGGCTGAGGCAGGAGAATTGTGAGTTCAAAGCCAGCCTTAGCAATTTAGTGAGGTCCCGAGCAACTTGTGGAGACAATCTCAAAATAAAATATAAAAAGTGCTGGGGAGGTAGCTCAGTGGTTTAAGTGCCCCATGGTTCAATCCTTGGATGAAGATATATATATAAAATCACATGAAAAACAAATATATATGTATGTATGTTTATATATATATATATAAACATATATATATACATACACACACACACACATATATATATATATAGATATACACACACACACACACATATATATATACACACACACACACACACACAGATATACAGTTATTAGTACTTTTTCCATATGTCACATAATGGAAAGACCTGGATAAGATACAAATTTTCACAGCAAGTGAGGGATAATATGTAATCATTTGGAGCATATAGAACAAGTATTTAAAGTCAGAAGGTATATTGAGCTTGAATAAAGCAGATCTATGCATATTTAATTCTAAAATATAATTTTATTGGGTTTTCTTGTACATAAATAATATTACTGAATAAACTGCTTTGCTAAAAATGAAATATTTCTTACCATTGGCATTTTCCTGATGATAGCCTGCCTGTTTCTAGGCCACTTCTTCTTTTCATGATTTTCTGAATGATTTGTTGAATGTTGAATAAAACTTAAGAACTTACTTTATCTAAAGCCTTTTAGAATGAGGCACAGGTATAAATAAATACATAAAAATGAGACAAATCCTAGTATTGGTATGCACATAAGGCGATTAGGAAAAAATAAATCTTCTTTGGATAAACTTATTATTAAATAAAATAAACATTTAGTTTTTAATGAATTACCATTGTCATAATATAGGAAAAGCATAGCTTAGAGTAGTCAGTAAAATGATCCAGTTTTGATCACTAATCAGATATATCAAAATACCACCTTGTGTTTATACAGCACCTGTTTCTAACTAGGTGAAAGAACAATATCAATGATCTTTTTATTTATTTTTTTTGCATTTGGATTTTATTTTGTTATAGCCATCAATACTTATTATGCAACTGTGCAGTTGGAAAAATGATCTCATTCATATTTTACTAACGTGGAAGTAGGTTCAGAAATATAGGTGACTTGAAAAAGCTCCAAAGAGAGATTTTTCATACAGCCTTGAAAATGCCTAGTTTTCTCCAACATTGGTTGCTAGAGCTGCTGTTTTTGTTTTAATACCATCAGGTTTTTCTGTGTGTTTTCTTTTCTCTTTGGTCAGTAATCATTTTCTTCCTTCCTTTTTCTTCTCCACCTTTCCTTCCCATTTCTTCTCTCTGTCTTTCTTCTCCCTTTTACTTTCATTTTTTAAAAAAAATTCTACCCAAAAATTTGAGCAGAAAAGTAGTCTCAATTTTTTCATTGGATTTTCTTCTATGTAAATAATATTCCTGAGTAACTATAAAGTAGCTTCCCTAATTGACTAATTTTTGTGTTAATTGAATTAACAATTGTTCTGTGTAGCAATTGCTGCATAATAAACTACCACCAATTTAAAACTCTTCCTTCTGTTTGTCAAAGGACATATTACTAAACCAATTACCATTTTCAAACTCATTTACTCCATATACAAAGGCAATGTATTTCTTTGAACCCTGAGAGTAAGAATTTTGTCTTTAAGTCCTCATTTCATTGGAAAGGCTATTCTTACAGTTTCAGTTTTGTTTATTAAATTAGCTTTTCAAAGAGATTGTTAAAATATACCAAATTCTTTGAAGTCCCATTTGACCAGCAGCATGGGCTCCTCCTTCCTAATTTTCTTTTTTCAGTGTACAACTTCTGACTACCCATCTCTTATTTTAACACCATCATTTGTAGGTTAAACTTATTAAATGTTTGCTTATATGTGATTGCTATACATAACACATATGGAAAACAAAATTAAAATGAATATAAAAGAAAGATGAACAGGTTTGCTTTCATGGATTACTAATTTTGAAATCATACTAATTTTCAATTAGTCAGTGGGTGGAAAGTTTTCCAGAACTATGTTGATCAAGTACAAATTTTTAAAATTGTATTTTGATTAAGTTCAATTTAATGCAATTTCTTCATTATGCTTTAAAATTCATAAATATAAAAATAAACAATTACAATGCAGTTTATTATTAGGGTTTTGAAAGTCATTAGCTAAAAGCATCAGCCTTTTATTTTTATTATGTGATCTTTTATGTATATAATTTAATATGATGCTTTTACACTTCTAATCCAGTTTATATTCATTTGTTACTTTTCCAAAGTCCTAGAAAAATAAATTATTTTATTTTTCTTTTTAATATTTTGATAAATATCTTCTTATATGATGGTCAACCTTTTTTGGCTTTAAGTAACTACATGACAATTGCCTATTTATTTGCTTTATGAGGAAAGAATATTCTGGCATGCAATGAGTTATCACACAGTGCTTTGTGTCAAGCTGTAGCACGTGTATACTCACTTACACAGTTTGTGCTAACAGCCATTGTTGGACCAGGCATTTCTCCAAAGCTCATGAGTTAGGGAATGGTAATTATAGCAAGTTGTATATTATAAATAATGCATGTATGTTCCGCACGAGCTATGTGGGATTTCGGCCCATTTGCTAGAACATAGCTGCATAATGATTTGTTTGGATTTTGTTGCAGATGATTGATAGTGCAGAATGTTGGCAATGATGTAAATTACTGTTGGGCTGCCTTGAAAATTTCAGTACAAGTGGTGATTTCTTCTCTTTTTCTGTGTGCTTGTCTAGTCTCGACAGACACCTGAGGGTGAGTTCCTTCCCCTTGACCAACTTGAACTGGATGTAGGTTTTAGTACAGGGGCAGATCAACTTTTTCTTGTGTCCCCCCTCACAATTTGCCACGTGATCGATGCCAAAAGCCCCTTTTATGACCTATCCCAGCGAAGCATGCAAACTGAACAGTTCGAGATTGTCGTCATCCTAGAAGGCATTGTGGAAACAACTGGTGAGTAAAAACATAGATATGCCATCAAGTTTTTTTTTTCCATAATTGCATTATATTATATGTACAATATCTGTAATAAATTGGTCTAAATGACTCGAGTTCACAATAATGAAAGTAATAACACGTCTCTTATATCTTTGTTAACACTAAATTGATATTACTTTGCAAATCCAGCTTTATTGTTTTGATGGTTACATGCCTGATATTAATACAGGAAAACTCACTGAAAAAAAAGGAACAAAGATGATGCCTTAGAAATGATTATGTTGTTCTGTTTTAATTATAAACTTGGATTTCCTATAATCATGATTTTTCGTATTTTTTATGATTTTCATATTTTCTAAACATTTAAGGTTAAAAAAACTCAAGGTAATTAGTAATAGCCTGAACCCAATGTGCATATTCTTCCCTTGAGGATGCTGATTTGGGGTGTCATTGATAGAGCTTCAATATCTATTATGTACAACCTCAGTGGAAAATTCCCTCTGTGTGTGTGTGTATGTATGTATGCACGAAAGCAGCATTTTAATTTCAAAGTGGGTCAATAGATTTCCTCAGCTGAACCTTGACTAGTTTTGTTTAAAAAAAGAGAGATTTTTTTTTCTTTTTCTGCTTCAGCATAGCTGTGTGCTGCACGGTATTCCTTAAGAGGCAAATACCATTGGAAGGCCCCAAATACTTAAAATTTGCTACTCTTTGAGGAGAGTCAGGTTGGCAAGGGAAAGAAACAATAAAAAGAAGTAGATTATTTGGGACCTCAATATTGCCTAGCTGGTTGGGAACCTGCTGAATACTTGAGACCAACAGTGGAACATCTGTATGTGTGTGTGTGTGTGTGTGTGTGTGTGTGTGTGTATGTGTACATGGATGTCTATTTTTCTTTAGGTAATTAAAAAAAGCAAGAAATATTTTAACTTTCGACTTTTAACTTTTTTCTTTCATTTAATCTTAAAATGCTATTATATATTAACTATAACAATATTGAACTTAACATTGACAGTAACATAAATTCAGTCTTTATACCAAAGTGTAAGATCTTTGATTACACATAGTTGCTTTTGTCTAAGGGGACAGCAAGCCATTGTAATTTTTCGCATCTATCATATAATGCCTATCAGAAATTTAAGGAAAATATTCAGTTTCTATGAACTTCTTTTCTTTCTCTTTAGAGAAGATAGCATAATTACTACCTCAACACTGTATCTTAAAAATTATTTTTGTAATAAATGCTTCAGTTTAAAAATTATGATTTTTACTCATAAAAAAGAAAAGATTTACCTCATCAAACCATATTTGAAATTTGATATTTTTGTCCATTATTTGATGACTTAAGTCCCCATTGAATTCTCAACTAAAATTGAAATGATGTCATTGTACTTTTCTAAAATGTCATATATTAGTGAGCAATGAAATCAATTTATAAAGGTTCAGTCCAAGAAATACTTACATTTCACTGTAAATCTTATACATCTCATTTACCAAAGTAATAATGAATTATTAGAGCATAAGCAATACATGTAGGCATATTTCTTTATTCCTATAGTATGTGATTCTTATAGTTTTGAACTATTATTTAAATCACTGACATGAGTGAATATTTTGTTTGAATTGATAGCCTTGTGGTCCTGTATTAGATCAGTCATAATTATTCATTTATACATCCATTTATCTTTAAATACTGTCTTTATTAAGAGTGAAATCATTTGCATACAAAATCACAGTCTAAAGATAAAATATTTCTCAACCTTCCTTTGTGTTTGTTGACCTTGATGTGTTTGAAAAATTCAGGTCAGGTATTTTGTAGAACATTTCTATTTGGATAAGTCTGGGGTTTTCTTATTTATTAAGTCTTTTGATTTTTGGCTTCTACATGGGCACTTTGAGGGAATGCTGAAGCAGGCTCTATTGAAAAATTTTACCTATATTTCAGAGGATCATGATTAGTAAATAATGTCCTATATAAGTCCGTGAACAATTCTGTAACATCAATCATTCATTAGCACTATAGATTTTATTTTAACATTTTTTCCTTCTTGCTTTGTTTGTTTGTTTGTTTGTTTTAATGAACTGGCTGAGAATACTTTCAACATAAAATGTGAAAACTTAGCTGAAGACTGAATTTCTTATTTAGATATTACCTTTCATGGAGAAGAGATTATAGTCTATTTTCTTTTAACCTCTTAATTAAGCCTGTTTTCTAGATCTAATATAGCAAGACAAACAGAAAAAAACATTGCTCATAATTTATAGAATTTATTTGTTGGAAAATTTATCTGACATTTTGATTATGTATATGCCCTAACTAATTAAATTCCACACTGTTCAAACTCTGTAAAACCTGTCTGTTTCTAGCCATCCTTGAGTATGATAAAAATAACACTGACATTTTTATACCCATTTGATCATTTAAAATTTTATTGACATTTATTCAGATTCATCTTTAAAGATATTTTCTCATTTATCCCTTCATTAAAAATAAAATTTACTTCCTCATCATATTTATTGCTTAGAATAAGACAGGAGTTTTTGAGTTTGTTTTAAGTCAGCAAGAATACCATTTTCTACCTCTGAAGTTCTTTGGTGTGGAGCCTTGTGAATAAACTTGTACTAGATGTAGCTTTCCATCCTATTAAGCATTGAAGTAGCAAGTTTTCAAGCATGTATTTATTCACCAGATAGGTATTTATTGAATGTATGCTGTGTGCTAGGATGTATTTGAGATGCTAAACATAGTGACTGAGACAACAGAATCCTTTTCCTCCTGGGTGTTATATTCTAATTGGAAGAGGTGGATCACAAAACACAAATAAATAAGCGAGATATTACCAGGTAATAATGTTTCAGGAATAAAGAACAAAGCAAGACAAGGTGGTAGGATGAAAAATGTATGCAGGCTACTTTAGGTTAATGGTCAGAGAAGACCTCACTGAGGAGGTGGTGTTTAAGCTGAGTCCAGCTCTCCAGAAGGATCACCTGGACTGGTTGGGGGCAGAATGCTGCAGGCACCGAGGAACAGCTGATGAGAGTGCCCCCATTTGGGAATAAGCCTGTTTTATTCCTGGAATCAAAAGACGGCGGAGGTGGTTGAAGCAGAGTGAACAGTGTGGAGAGTGAGGTGAGAAGCTGGAGAGGTGGAGGGGCCACCTCTGCACTAGAGATAATTTTATTACACCATCAGGGACTTCATTAAAAAGCAGAGTAATAAGAATTTTAAACCATATGTAACACACACACACACACACAAAAAAAACCACTGTTGTTTCTACTGGGTTGCATGAAGTTTATTTGAAAATGAATAACCCTAGTGTCTTAGAAATACATACAAATGCATACAAAATTCAGACAGTCACCTCGTTCCTGTTAATCAAATTCTCCCTTCTGTTTACCCCTCCTTCCCTTCCCCTCATCCCAAGGCCATCCTCTGCTAAGAATCTTCTAATCTCATTTACTTATTGCTTCTTCCCATTCCTGTGGTCTCAGCAGGAGTGGTGGGGAGGCAGGTGAGAAATTAGAAGCTTTCTAATTTCCATGGAAGTTTCAGCTTCCAGTCTAGGACTTCTAATTATTACTTTCCTCATTTCCTTGCAAATACTCCTCAGTGATCAGAGTCAAGGATTTTTGCCCTCCTGGCTTCAAGTGAATTGGACTTTACTGCCCAAGATTTGTCTCTTATTCATCAATAACCACTACAGACCTTTTCCCATCCAGCAAATTCTTAAATGTTGGTTACCTCTAACTCTTGCTCCCTTTGCTTCTTCTCCCAGGAGAGAGAACACTGCTGGAGGCAAACAAAGCATTGCAGATTTGGCTCATTAGAACTGGATGCTTTCAAACTTCAATCTGGTTTCTGCTGCTATTTGGCAGTCTTTTTAATTGTCTTTTCTGTACTCTCAGGCTTTCTCCTCATGGGATCTATTTTAGACCTTTTCTCTCCCTCCATGTCCTCAGTTCCAGCTGTCCCATCCTTCCTTGACACATCATCTCTCCACCTATTCTATTAAAAACAATGTGATTTTCTGTTAAAAATTTCTGTACATTCCTTTACTGTCTTTATCCTCTTCTCATAGTTATGTCCTCTTTTTCTTTTGTGGTAACAGTAGAAGAAAGTATTTTACCACAAACCATATTCTTTATAAGTAGCTTTTTTCCCCCATAGCCTGTGGGCTTACATTTAGTTTTTACCATACTATAAATCTAACATCCCACTGACTGCTTTGTCTTTCAGTTTTCTCTAAAGGGGGAAATAAATCTTGTTATTTGTTCCATTTATATGTTGTTGTTTTTTTTTTCTTTCTGGGATTTAGAAACAAAAGATTTTCCCTTTCTGCCTTTTTTCCCCCCTCCTCCTCAAACTCCTCCCCTACCTCCTTCTATTTTCTATATGTTCCTTATATCCTGCATCATTGCCCCTTGCTACTCCTCTAGCCTGCATAGTCTTCATAGCTATCTGCCTTTGCCTCTTTTCTTTTCTAGTTTAGATTCTGATGTTTTTGGTGAATTCACAAAGTACTCACAAGTTCACCATTCCTCTATCTCCAGTTATGAAACCTACCTCCAATTACGATCTCATGTTTTTTATTCATTTCAGGCCATATTTTTCCACTTCAGTGTCACCATTTTAATTCTGAGTCCCCTTCTCCACAGACCCACCAATCATCTAATCCTCAAATTACATCTCTTTTGGAAGGTTTGCCTTTATTAATCATCGCTATTTTATCACTGCCAACACCTTTCCTTTTATATCCATCTAATTTATTCATTTGACAAATATCTGTTGAGCACATATTATGGCATAAGCACTGTTCTAGGCACTAGAAACACATTAATTAGCAAGACAAAATTTTTGCTCTGGAAGGCAATGATATTATGTGAGAAAACAGTAAAGAGAATGAAGTGCATCTTCTATAATGTTAGAAAGTGATAACATGTCGGTCGTGAAAAAATAAAGCAAGACTAGAAGGAATGGGAATGTAAGGAGGCCAGGGAAGCTGGTGAGGAAA